CCCCCCCCCCCAAACTGCACACTCCCAAGCTCGTGCTATTCTCCCATGAAGCTTATACGTACATGTCTAGCTGACTTAAACTGTAGAATTGGGTTTTCAAATATCCTGAACCCTAAACCCTCAACCCTAAAACCTAAACCCCAAAGCCTGAACCCTAAAGCCTGAGCCCTAAACCTTAAACCCTGAATCCTAAATCCAAGAAGGTGTTGCTGGTCCTCTTGCTGCTGGCTCTCCCTGAGCTGGGCCTGGTCTCGCATCAGGTGGGCGAAAGGATATGGGGGTTTAGGGTTATGGGTTTAGGGTTTGGGGTTTAGGGTTCAGGGTTTATGGTTTAGGATTTGGGGTTCAGGGTTTAGGGTTCAGGGTTTAGGGGATTCAGGGTTTAGGGGGTTCAGGGTTTAGGTTTTAGGGGTTGAGGGGTTTAGGGTTTCCGACGCTTCAAATACAAAGAGCCCCTTTTTGGGTCCCCATAATCTCTGGACGAGTTTATTTGGGTTGTATTGGGACCCTTGTTTCTGGCGATCCCCATATTCGGCCTGAGCTGTGCCTCCTCAAGTTCCACATTTACAATATGAAGAGCCCTACTCTCATGACGTGCAGCATGGCTGAGAAGTGAATACGTCGTGATACCACATCGCTTGAGTAGTATTTTTTCAGTAAGGGCAATACTCCCCAATATAGAGTAAGGTCATATCCAGTCCTGCGTATAGCTTTTACGAGAAGATCATATAATCTTGCTTCGTTCGACCACCGAAAACACGACGGATATGATATGCGCAAACCCTTTTCGCGGAGCGCCTGCTCAATAGAGAAGATGAACCAGAGGGATTCATATGGAGAGAGGGAGGCAACCATAGGCAACCTGGATTCCTTGACGTAAGAGTTGGCTACAGGTCTAAGGAGTGCTGAGACAGCGCACAAAACTTTGGATCTGCATTTGTTTAGACTGCTTTGTGCGCCTTGACACTGGACAAACATCCACAGCATGTGCCCATATCCCTTTAAAGGGACCTAGGGTTTCCATTTTCTTTTCCATTATCCCAATATAACCCTATATAACCATATATAACCCGATAATTACTTTTAATATTAACGACCCCCCCCCTAATCACACCTTGGGCGTCTTGAAGGCCCCATGTCTGTCCCACCCCCCCGCATCGCACAACGAGTAAGAGCCATAGAGAGCGCTGCAATGGCCTAAATGCTATGAGGGGCCATATAGGGGTTATAGGGGGTATATAGGGGATACGTAGGGATTATAAGGGGGTATAGAGGGGATATTTTGGGGATTATAGGGATAATGGAAAGAAAATGGAAACTATTATAATGGGATTGCAATTCATGTGTTACACTTTCTTCTGCAGTGCATGTAGGCCAGGGCTTACGACAGGTGGAATGCTAGGTAGGCTATCTTCTTTTTCATATTATTTTTCCGGTATTTCTCTTCCACATCCTTCGAAAAGGCGGTGTTATTTCATTTTTTGTAAAAAGCCCCATTGATGGACCCTAGGCTCGAGAACTTCGTGTCACTCAGTCGTCATTGCCAGCATTTTCCGCCAGCAATGACAAGACAATGGAACCGTTTGTGTTGCCCTGAAGTCCTCATTTGCTTACTCGTTATCCTGAACGCAGTCTGGGATGTTTCGCCAGGGCGTCGCGTTGAACACTTACTCCATGAAGCTTGGAATGGGCTGCTCGACGCAGTTGCTGAAGTCCATGGATAGCTCCATACGCGAGCTCTGGGTAGGAGTACAGCCATACTACACCTTTGGCTGATTTTTACGTGGCTTGATACTACACAAGATGTCAAGCATCACTGTGTCTCCTGCAAATTCCAGATGTTGATGTGGGTGTATGTGGTCAAGTGGGAATGTCTGTTTACAAAGTATATACTTATAGGATTATTAAAAGCCTTTTTGGCCGAGAGCCAATGAACCTCCTCCGATCCAAGACAGGTCCATATAATTCCCTATATAGCCCACTTTAAGGAGCTTAGGCCCTAAACCCTAAACCCTATATAATCCCTGGATCCAAGACAAGTCCTGGATCGCCAAAGTCAACTCAGCCTCGGCCATCTTGCAGGCCCGCGTAGGGTCAGGGTTTGGGGCTGAGAGCTAATGTTCTGAAGTGTTCTCAATGCCACAAATACACACAGCCAGGGCATAACGTTCTGCAGGATTGAGGGTTTGGGGAGGGCTGGAATCAAGAAATGGATGGCTTTCAAGAACTTGGGTTTTGGCGGAAGCGTGCAAAAGGGATCAAAGCCTTCTGCAAGCTGATGGCCGAGTCCGGAGAAAGAGATGCGAGACTCCCCAGTCACACCCGCCAATCAGGCGGGTGAATTGCATTGCCTGTAGGCCTCATAAAGCTGAAGCGATATGTGTGGAGTGTAGTCTGCCTGTTGCAGCATGCACGCTACTTCGGTTCAAGCTGGCCCGACAACAATCTTTCCCTCTTGCGTGGGCAAGTGATTTGCGACAGCACTGCCAACATATCCAAAGGATTCCAGGCGAGACTCTATGGGCGTAGGGCATCCCTCATTCCGTCCTGAGGGAGGCTCACCATGGAGAGCTGTCAGGGCTTTCAGGTGAAGCGGTTTCTTCTACTCGAAGTAAAGGAGTGGTTTCTTAGCATATTCTAGCTAGCCTCACAGCACACAATGACGCGCGAGAGAGAGCTGGATTTGATGGATGGATTTAACTTGTACAACACGGATGAGGAGCTGCAACCGGATTCTTCATCCCGATGGGCGCGCCGGTGTCTGCTTTTTGTTTTGGCTGCCATGTTGTTCATCGGTGGAGTTTGGACTGTTGATGCCATCTTGGATAAGATGGATGCTCCCAGCTCGGCGCGGGATGAAAACATAGCGCAGCTGAAGGCAGAGACAAGTCAGCTGGAGGATCGCTTAGAGAAGTTCTTCTCTGGTCATCACCCCGCGGGTTGCGAAGGCCGCAAACGGGACATTTACTTTGAAAGGTCCGTGCCCCCCGGCCGTTTGGATTCCTCGCCACGTCCATTGTTGGACTGCTTCTCCAGCGATATGGACCTGGGGGTCAGTGGACTTGCTGATCCAGAGCTAGAAGGCGGCGTTGGGTTTGCTTCCTTCGAGAGAGCTTGCGCTCCGGTTCTGTCACTTAGGCAGCCGCAGATTCTCGATGACCGCGGTGAGACGGTGCGATGCGATGGAGACTTGACATCTAGCCTGGAAACCAACCTTCCCACAGAAATTCATGAGACACATGAATGGACAAGCGCAACAGATCAGAAGATCCTGCTGGAGCTGTGGGGCGGAGGAGGCGGAGGTGCTGGCTCGATAGACGCATGGCATGGGTTAGTAATGAGTCTCCAGTAGTATTAGAGCAAAAAAGCAAAAGACATTAGTTTCAGGCAACTGGTTTCGAACATGGCGGCATTGTTTTGATATCTTCTGCATTCAGCTACAGATCGTGGGTTTAACCTGGCAGGTCAGTTGAGGCAGGGTCTAAGCTGCGAACATGCTTGTTCCCGCTTTCCCAAATGTCGAGAGAGCATTAACTTGTTGCGGTTTCCCTGATAAGTTGGCAATTTGGATATTGGCATGGATGGGACCAGATTCTGAACCGGCATCTACACACTGACAGCCTTTCAAAATCTCACAGGCTGGTAAGGCCGAGGAAGAAAGCCCCGCATTACTGAACGGTAGCCCACAGAGCTTGATTTGGGGCAGAGGATGTAGCCAACGCCGATCGCTTGGCGTGGATTTGTGGAGGAGGGGGCGGCGCAGCGGGGGCCCTGAGCCTTGGCAAACTTTATGGTTCCATGGCCTTCCCCGCCTCACCCATGCAAGCTAGCCAGAGCCAGTACAAGGACCATTGGTTGAAAGGATTTTTCAGGTGTTGTCAGATGCGTTCTGCTTACGCATATGCAAAAAATCGGGGCAAGCATTTTGGGCTTGCGCATGGGAAGCTTAGGAGCGTGGTGGTTCAGCTTTGGGTTGGCTGGAGCTATCGAATCGAGGTTGGGATGGGTGGATGCTGGGTCCTTGCCAGAAATTTTCCCCACCCTTAGTGGCTTGTTAGATTTGAAGGACAGATGCCCGAGGTCGTGAGAACCATCCCATCAGTAGGTGCCAGCCAGTACAAATAGCGTGACATAGCAAGACGACAGCTTAGAGGACAGGAAAGCAACAGACAGCAGGACACAAGGAGGTTGACAGATCAGAGGACAGGAAGGGGAACGGGGAGTAAGTCAGATCAGAAGACAGACATCCTTGGACAAATAGCAGGATGCACTCAGGCTTCCGAGCGCCCAAATAGCAGCCAGTGGAGTTCCAAGTGCACCGAAAATCTTGGCACCCAAGCCCTCAAGTTGCCTCCTGGGCAGTCCCAGGCGGACTGCGCCTGCCTGCCTCCTGCAGGCCTAGGTCCACGCCTAGGCCAGGCCTTCCCCCTGCAGTGAAGATCTGCTTCGGCCTCACCACCAGCCGCCTTGGTGATGACGGACCAGGATGGATGTCTTTCAGGTCCCGCCGATATATGGGATGTCAACTCTGGTGACAGGGTGGGGATTCTAGTAATTTCTTATGGGTGATCGCGGGCTTCATCAACCTTTTAGCAAGCGGCGAAAATTAAATAGCCCTTTGTAGTTCTTACCGTGACAAAGAGTTGAGGAGAGGGCGGCTCGATAGGGCAAGGTGGCGGCAGAGGCTCCAGCACACGATTCCTGGAGATGCCCCCTGGCGGCCAATCGTGGCAGCTCGTTGCAGAGGCCTGCTTACATCATCGTCGTCCATGTCGTCGTGGTCCTTGTCATGGGCATGGTCATGATCGTGTTGGTGGTCGTGCTCGTGCTCATGCGTGCTCGTGCTCGTGCTCGTGCTTGTCGTCGTTGTCGTCGTCGTCGTCGCCGTCGGCTTTCGTGGTCACGTTGTCCTTGCCGCCGCTGCCGTCGTGGTGGTTGTTGCTGTGGTTGTTGGTGGTGATGATGGTGGATGTTACACAGAGGCAGCATGTGGCAGCAACAGCGGGAGACATGGTTCTAATTCTGCAAATGTTGTTGAAAGTAGAAGTTGTCCTCTCAAACGGGTGTGGGCTGGATTGAGCATGGGTAGATTTAGGTGGTAACTAGGACATGGAAGTACTAACTAGCATAGGTGCAGGCATGCGACAGCAAATTCATGCAGCAGCTACTACTTGGCACTGGTTGTTCGATACGCATGAATCTGTTGGCACTGTCAACATAGTAGCAACATCAGCAGCTTTGGCACAGCAGTGCTGGTAACACTCGTGAGAGTGGTCATGAATATCAGGTATAGGCTGTTAGAATGTCATTCTGAATGTCGCAGCAACAGAAATGAGCAGGCTTGTGGTGGCCATGGTGGGGGCAAACTTCATGAAGAGCTATTGTTCTCCCCTGGTGGTCGGGGAGGTGTTGCAATTTCCAACTCTTCACAGGCATGCCACGTGCTGGGCCTGGATGGACAGAGCTCACGATCCGACTTCGAAAGCCCACCCAACCTCTCTTACCCTTTTCTGGATCACCAAGGACAAACGTTGGCGCTTTCCGACAACTCATCCAGGACTCCATGCAGTGGAAAAGACTGGCTCCGCTCCACAATGCGGAAGCCCTATGGATGGTATTGCTTTCGAAAACCGGACTTCTTCCTCACTTGCGATCCTCAGACAATGTTTTGTGTTGGAGCGGTTGGGACCGCTCTTGTTGCTCACCCTGCAACTGGAAAGTTTCGGTTTCTCAGCGAGAATTTGTTTCGTGCAGCCCCGGCGGGGGGAAGGGCGCCGCGCGGCATTGGAGGTGTGAAGCGAAAAGCAGGCCACGGCGGGAACGGTCAATGTGCTGCTGTGAAGACCAGGCTAGCCACAGGACCCGACTTCAACAGCTTCACAGTGCGAGAAGTTACGGACGTCATAGGAACGGAAGGCGCTCCTGGCATCAGAGGCCTTGCCAGCATCAGGCCATGCCAGGCTTGAGGCTTCAGGTGTCATTTCGGTGTTATTCACAGCTGAGCGCTCGTGGCTGCGACTTTGCAAATGTTTGGTTGCGAGATTTGCTGGATCCCTGAGTGGGCTCTCACAAACTATGATTTGCATTAGGGGCCCTTTTCAACCCTTTTATTGTAGTCCTAAATCAAGTGCGTGATCGACACTACTCACGTACTCACATCGAAAAGAATGCCGTGAGATGTACGAATCCCGAAAAAGCTTCAAAAGCGACAGGAATCGCCAAAAGCTATACACCTTTAATTCGAGACTAGACCATGACTATCCTGTGCCCAACCCCCCCAAAAGCCATAGGACCCGCCCGAATTATCCATTGGATAGGATTACACCAAAAGTTTCGACGAATGCTCATATGCTAACTGCGGACTCTGCTGAGAAGTTTATAGGGGGCTAGTACTTCAGACTCCCAAGTCCTTGCTACTGAAACAATGCCCCCGTGCAAGTTTCACATTCTTACTTCTGAAACTTCCAAACACCAAATCTCCCGGCTCTGTCAAGCTTAGTCCAGTCGAAAGACTGAAGCCATCCTGAAGGATACCGAAAACGAGGACTTTACCTTGGAAGTTGGTAGTTAGGGTTTTGGGTTCAGGGTTTGTCTCAGAGCTTCCCAATTGTGACGCTCTGTTCCTTAAAGCCCCGCCACAGGCCGTTGTCGCTGGGACGCTTTGTGCAGGACTTGCCCGACGGGGCTGGAGCCACGCGGGGCAGAAATGGATAGGGGTCACCAGAAATTGCGCTTGAGCTTCCGCACAAGGACTATCGCATTTTGGGGGTCCCCCATTTGTGGAAAAAAAGCATGTGGACCCCTGGAGAAAGGTAAGGCTAATCAAGGAACGGTTGCGCACGTGTGTCAGTGGTTATATGATCGTCATGCAGGCATGCCTCAGATTTTACGATTTTGCTTTTTCTTCGAGGTTTTCCCAGACAACCTATCGCAAGTGGTGCTGCAAGATCCATATTTGCAGTGACATGTTCAAGAGTAAAGGCTTTAGCTTCAGTGAATATGTGTACAAACGTTCTTTATGGAAGGGCCCCACAGAGCTGCAATGACGAGGACTGAACGGTTGCAACTATCTTTCTTTTTGCGCGCGCGTGCATATGTGAAGCATTCTTCAGAGTGTCATTCAACCACATAGCTACATGCAGGTCATGGCTGATGTTTGCAAGTTTGCTGAAAAGTTCAACGTGTGGCTCATCATGTCTCCGGACGTCATGCCCGCTCCAGGGACATAGCGCATGTGTCACTATGCAATTTCACGACCTACACGTGCTATTTCGTTCCAGAGTTCCGTTTCGGCCCAACTTCATATGTACGGGCATTTCCATCACGTCTCTTCCTCGTTACTAGTATGGATCCTTTCGACTGCGGCAGAACTCTTCTCCTTCAGGTGACACCACGTTATTGCAGCTCGGCTGCGGCAGCTTCGCTGTTGCCTCGCTTTCGATTTTCCTGTGGCCACTTGATTCCAGCCATGCCTTACTGCTGCAAGGGAGTGGTGGAGAGGATCTAGGTACCATTAACAGGGACTGTATAGGGATCCACTTCCCCTAAAGCACGTGTAAGTTGCGCCCAATGCCGAGACCACAAGACCAAAATGGGCCCTGGGGCTTCTTTTCACAAGTTTACCAGGAATTCAGACAGCCTCATACAAGCAGGAGTAATCATCAAGCGTTTTGGGATAGCGTATGACGTCATGTAATAGTACAATCATTTTACAGTGCCTCAACAGGGGTGCTGATTTGCTTCCCTGCATGGATCACTGGTCTTGGAGCTGCGCATTCCGCGGCATGCTTTGACGAAAGCTGTGGCTGATATCTCTTCTCCATTTCACGTGGGCTGCTGTTGTTTATTCTGACATATCCTGACCATAAGCTTGTCACAACCATCATCAAAAGGAACACCTACTCGGGTGACTTCAGTTGCTCCATGCCTTGTTGTGTGAGTGGCCAGTCAGAACACCTGTACCTGGGAGAAATCCATGGTGACGCTGTGCCGGAAGCCGATTTTCCAATTTCTCAGTGTAAAGCTGGTCAAGGCGAGCCCTCGACTACTGAAATCTCAGTTCCAGCAGCTTGAGAGGCTGCAGTAGCCAGCGCCAAAGCTAAGTAAGTATTCCCTCGCACAGATTCCGGTAGGTGTACACGACCCCACAAGAACCTATGAAAGCTCTTGTGCTGTCCCCATGTGTGAGTCCTACAGTATGTCATCACTCTTTCAACGGGGGAGTGACTACCTGAAAGTGTGCAAGCATGCACAACATCCTCTTCTTAGCATTCAAGCAAGTACACTTACAATCAAAACTCTACCCCTATGTCAGATCAGCTATAGTCTAGACTCCTTAAAGTAGGTTATACAGTGGATTATATAAGGGGGGTGTTATATAGGGCTGATCAAGGGCGACAGTAGGAGTTTAGACTATAGCTCAGATGAGCCCGTCCAACTCCAAGGCAAAGCCCCGACGCGATAGTGGCCTCTGCACCCTTCGCTGCAGCTGCAAACTCTGTCCTTCGCAGCTTCCCCGCGGCCCTGCTGAGCCGCTCGGCCGTTTTGTCTAGGGACATAAAGGGATCATGTGAGTATATAGGCATATAGGGACATGGGGCTATAGAAGGATATGCAGGGATTGAGCTTTTCGAGCTTGGAGGCCCTTTACAGGGGACTACATGGCTCGGCATGTGTTTGCTCAGTCGTGTGTTGGGCCTATGTAGAGGGAGAGGGGTGAGGTTTATACGGTCAAGGACCAGGCCTCCATCTTAAGTGATTCGAGATGATTCGAGGATTTGGAGTCATGCTTCCAGGTGCGGATGAGAGGGGTGAGAAGTACCGGGACTGCTGGGAGCCGACGCGGAGCTATCAGATATTGACGTAGTCCCCGCGAGTCTTGACGTACCCAATCATGACGGTATATCTGAGGTGTGGTAACACAGAAATCGAATCATAAATCAATTAGCCGGTGCAGACACATCTCCAACAGTGCTAAGAGGCTTCACAAGCAGCAGCTAGAAATCAAGGCAAAGTTTGAAGCCAACAGTGAGTGGCCCAATTTGCTTTGAAAGCGGCATGGCGGGTTGCACAAAACAAAAGCTTTGTAATTCCTGCTGGACCGACCTGCAGACGCGATCGATGGTAAACTCCTCCAGGCAAACAAGTGCCAGAGCAACGCCAAGGCGAAGCTATGGGTTTGCTGCTTCCTTGCAAATGGGGTCACATCACATGAGCTGACATATGGGTGACACATCGCAAGCCGCAGCAACCGAATCCTCCCCCAGCGGCGCACAATTTTCAGCACTTTCTCGGGGCTTTGCCAGAAGCTTTGGGCTCAAAGCTGAGCCTGATTATTGTCCAACAACGGAGGTAAGCCTTTGGTTAAACTGTTGAATGCTCTTCAACGTGAGGTTTGCATGTTCACGTTCGGTGTGCGCTCGTTAGTTGTGGCTGGGAAGCTTGGTTTTTCATACGTAGAGAATTACGTATGCCCGCTTGGTTGCTGTGGACATAGAAGCAACACCAAAGAATAAAGAAGCAGAGATGCGTCCTTTCCTTGTCAAGGCCTCATTGCAGCTTAGTCTAGGTGTGCGAAGGCATAGTCTCACAATACTCTTCTCCATTCTTCTCCTACTTCATAAGATCGTCTAGGCATCTGCCGGCCCCATCCGTCTATTTGTCTGCTTTGCTGCCTATCCAGGTTTCTTCGCTTTCTGTTAGAAGTTGCATGGATCATCCTCAAGGGTCCTGGCTCCCCGCGCAGTCTCTTTCCACAGTGAAGCGTCCCGTTTCTGTTCCTGAAGTATGAGGTGCGGTGCTATGCAAGTAGCTGAAGAGGACTAATGCATAAGTTTGAGAATGTATCAAAGGTTGGACATCTGCTCCTCGGCGCTTCGCGTGGCTGCTCCCATCTTGGCGGGCCTGCTCATGGACCTTCGAAGTCATTGCTGCCAGATACAGGGCTTATAGGTGCTTATGGGTGGGGGAGGGGGCTCCCGAAATTCCATGTCTTCTTGCTGGGGATTCCCCACCGTCCCAACACTGAGCGGGGTATGTCTGGGACCTGATTAAGAACTGCTGCTGCCACTGCCACCATCACCGCCGCCGCCGTGGTCGTTGTCGCCGTCACCCCCCTTCTCTCATCACCCCACCGCGGCTGAAGGAAAAGTGAGGATCAAAAGGAACCGATGAATCAAACGCTGCTGCAAATCTAGTGGCAAGCCGTGAAACAAGAAGAGCCGGAAGGCAGAAACAAAGATCAGCAACCACCACAAAATCACCGACATCATCCATTTGATGACCATGCAGGTCCTCAAAGTTCATCTGCAGACATAACCTGCCATCATACCATAGCCATCAGTTACCCTTACATGTTCATGGGTACTTGAGACCAGGACTCCTTCGGAGGAGCATCAGCGTTCCTCTTCCAAGCGCTGCTTTTCTTAGCAGCCATGGCCGGATTAGCCATGCATCAGCAGCAGCGAGACAAAAAGAAGACAAGGGGGGTATGAGGGCTACGGGCAGACATGCTTCAGGTCTGACAGGCTTATGTTGGGTCTCGGTTCCTAGCGTCAGGGTCCTATTATATTGTTTTGGGAGGTACACGCGAAACTCCTAATTCAAGACGTGGCCACCTGAGCCAATCAGCTGCCCTGCATGCATACCAGCCCACCTGACTCATGGCAGACTTGGAGGTGACGTCGACCAGCTACACCCAGATGCTCATTGTGAAGGCCAGCAGGCCATCACGCGGCGGGCGAGCAAGCCTCTCTTTCAAGGCATGGCTTCCCAAAAACTTCCAAAGTCTAGTGCTCCGGACCGGAAACTTGCCACAAAGTTTCCAGGTACGACTAAAACAGTGAGCCTTCTGTGATCCATTCCTCTACCAATGGGAACAGCACTTATAGCCTGTTGCGTTCAAGCCAGCCAGTTTATGTCAGTTAGGCTTTGGATCAAGAACCGCCCCAGAACCAAGGGCACTGCT